TGTGCGTGTGCGTCTGCGTCTGCGTCTGCGTGCGCGTGTCCGTGCGCGTGCGCGTGCGCGTGTGTCTGTGTCTGTGTCTGTGTCTGTGTCTGTGTCTGTGTCTGTGTCTGTGTCTGTGTCTGTGTCTGTGTCTGTGTCTGTGTCTGTGTCTGTGTCTGTGTCTGTGTCTGTGTCTGTGTCTGTGTCTGTGTCTGTGTCTGTGTCTGTGTCTGTGTCTGTGTCTGTGTCTGTGTCTGTGTCTGAGTCTGTGTCTGTGTCTGTGTCTGTGTCTGTCTGTGTCTGTGTCTGTGTCTGTGTCTGTGTCTGTGTCTGTGTCTGTGTCTGTGTCTGTGTCTGTGTCTGTGTCTGTGTCTGTGTCTGTGTCTGTGTCTGTGTCTGTGTCTGTGTCTGTGTCTGTGTCTGTGTCTGTGTCTGTGTCTGTGTCTGTGTCTGTGTCTGTGTCTGTGTCTGTGTCTGTGTCTGTGTCTGTGTCTGTGTCTGTGTCTGTGTCTGTGTCTGTGTCTGTGTCTGTGTCTGTGTCCGTGTCTGTGTCTGTGTCTGTGTCTGTGTCTGTGTCTGTGTCTGTGTCTGTGTCGGTGTGTGTGTGTGTGCGTTTTGTGTGTGTGTGTGTATGTTGGTGTGTTCTATGTGTGAGTTTGTGTCTTTGTGTGTGTGTGTGTTTGTGGGTGTGTTTGCGTGTGGTTGCGTGTCTGTATGCTTGCGTGGTTGTGTGTTTGTGTGTTTGTGTGGTCGTGTGTTTGTGTGCTTGAGTGATTGCGTTCTTGTGTGCTTGTGCGTTCGTGTTTGTGTGTGTGTGTTGTTGGTGCTTGTGCTTCTGCTTGTGCTTGTGCTTCTGCTTGTGCTTGTGCTTGTGCTTGTGCTTGTGTTGGTGTTGGTGTTGTTGGTGTTAGTGTTTGTGCTTGTGTGCTTGTGTACTTGTGTGCTTGTGTGCTTGTATGCCTGCTTGCGTGTTTGTGTGCTTGTGTGTTTGCGTGTGCTTGTGTGCTTGTGTTATTGTGTGCTTGTGTGGTTGTTTGCTTGTAAGCTTTCGTGCTTGCATGCTAGCGTGCTTGTGTTTGTGTGTTTCTGTGCGCTTGTGGCTTGTTTGCTTGTAAGCTTGCGTGTGTGTGTGTGTGTCAGTGTGAGTGTGAGTGTGAGTGTGAGTGTGAGTGTGAGTGTGAGTGTGAGTGTGAGTGTGTGTGTGTGTGTGTGAGTGTGTGTGTGTGTGTTTGCTTGTGTGCTTGTGCTTGTGCTTGTCTGTGTTTGTCTTTGTGTTTGTGCGAAATTTGTGTACTTGCTCTTTTGCGTGCGTGCGTGCGTGCGTGCGTGCGTGCGAATGCGCGTATGCATGTCCGTGCGCGTGTGCGCATTGCATGTAGCACGTTGTGTGTTGCGTATGGCGTGTGGCGTCTGGTGCATAGCGGTTGCAGTCGCAGTGCGGCGCCGTGGTGTGTTTGTGTGTGTGTGTGTGCTGGTGTGCTGGTGTGCTGGTGTGCTGGTGTGCTGGTGTGCTGGTGTGCTGGTGTGCTGGTGTGCTGGTGTGCTGGTGTGCTGGTGTGCTGGTGTGCTGGTGTGCTGGTGTGCTGGTGTGGTTTTGTTGGTGTGTGGTTGTGTTGGTGTGTGGTTGTGTTGGTGTGTTGGTGTGTTGGTGTGTTGGTGTGTTGATGTGATGATGTGTTGGTGTGTGTTGGTGTGTGTTGGTGTGTGTTGGTGTGTGTTGGTGTGTGTTGGTGTGTGTTGGTGTGTGTTGGTGTGTGTTGGTGTGTGTTGGTGTGTTGGTGTGTGTTGGTGTGTGTTGGTGTGTGTTGGTGTGTGTTGGTGTGTGTTGGTGTGTGTTGGTGTGTGTTGGTGTGTGTTGGTGTGTGTGGTGTGTGTTGGTGTGTTGGTGTGTTGGTGTGTTGGTGTGTTGGTGTGTTGGTGTGTTGGTGTGTTGGTGTGTTGGTGTGTTGGTGTGTGTGGTGTGTTGGTGTGTTGGTGTGTTGGTGTGTTGGTGTGTTGGTGTGTTGGTGTGTTGGTGTGTTGGTGTGCGGTGCGGTGATGTGTGTGTGTGTGTGTGTGTCTGTGTCTGCTTGTCTGTGTATTTGTGTCTGAGTCTCTGCGTCTCTGTCTGTGTGTCTGCGTGTCTGGGTGCATGAATGCTTGTAGTGGCTATGGATTGCAGCAAAGTCTCGTCACACTCAAAGCGGCCAAACTCTGGGTTGCAGGTCACCTGGACATATACAGGATCCACGTGCATCGTTTTGATCGGCGAAGCTTGGGGTGGGCCAACAACAGCATGAACAACGCAAGGATACATAGCTCGCTTTTCGCAATGTTTCTTCAATGCAAGACGGTTGCCGCGCGCACCCGTGCTTTGGCATTTCAGGGTTAGCACTTGGGGCTAAGGGCTCCACAGGTCGATCCTCTGGGCCAGGTCCGCCTGCTGTCAGGGCCAGAGATGCTACGCAAGAGATCTCACAAACACAATGCAGTCTGTGGAGCTCAAGTTCCGAAGGGCTTGGTTCCAATTCAGTTGACAGTTGCCACACGCGTACAGGCTCTCCCCCCCCCCCTCCGCGCCAGTCTTCTTGAACTCCGCGTCACCAAACCCCCGTGACACTGCGAGCTCGCCGTTCACGCGAGCCACGCCGCCCGGAGCCTGGCGGTCACCCAAAGACTGGCTGCCCAACTGTGTGCGTCCAAATCTCCCAGCCTCCTCCACTGTTCCCCCACAGCCTGAGCTCCATTGTCTGGTAGAAAGTACACAAGATAGGCATATACCAATCATCATGGAAATGACATGCAGCACCAAACCAATTCGTGGGAGCACAGTGTCCGTCAATTTGAAGCAAACCAAGCTCAGTCAAATACGATAGATGCGCTGCCGCTCCGAAGGGTGGCTGGGTTTGTGGTCTGTAGTGAGGCCTACGGCACCGAACGCAGTGTTTGCGGTTCACTGTCTGCCTAGACAAACTTGCACGTCACGTCGCCTTGCTCAGTACCACCACCATCAACAATTCTGCCATCTCGTCGACCCAGCAAAACCCGGCTATCCCCTGAGCATTCGTGATAGACCAAATATTGACTTTGCACCATGAACCGCTGGCATCTGAGGCCTGCATTTGCTACGCGCAGCTGGCATTTGCCACCTGCACCCTTGTGCACAATGCACATGGTTGCGGTTGACCTGAGACAGCTCTACAAGGACAGTCAAATAGCCAAGTGACTTGAATAGAGTAGGCGAGTGAAAGTAGCTAAGCACCGGGCCCGCTCGCCTGGCACATAAGAGGAAATGGAGGATTGATTTGCCCAGCCAACAACCTCTTTGTTAGGGCACAAATGGCCTCATGCAGGCCATCAGTGGCAGAAAACCACAGTCGCTTCAACATATTCCGTCACATTACCTGAATAGAAAGCCTCAGAGCGGTTTGCAGTCTTCAATTTGGGTTCCATTTTGCATTGAGCTCACATTAGTTCTTCACAAAGCTGCTAGCATGCCCATCGGATCATAGTGCTCCTCGATAGGTTTCATTCCCCAAACCTCTTGTCCCTCTGGCAAACACCTTCACACAGCCGACCGCCGCCTTCCCAGTCGCCAGGAAGGCGGCGTCAATGTCAAAGATGACTTGCCTCATGGCCTTGGAGAGGTGCACTCAAAAGTTTCTGCTGCTTGTTGCCTGACCATGAGATGCGTGCCTGAGATGTTTGTGATCAACGCAATTGTGGCATGAGCACGTGCTATGAGATGCTCTCAATTGTCATGTCATCTTTACAACGTGAATGACCAAGACATTCCAAGTCCTTGGCAGCATCATCTTTTGGACAGCCATACCTGTCCAGCTCCCCGGGCAAGTGCAAAGCAAGACGAAGTCTTCATGCCAAGCACAGCAAAGTAGTGTAAAGCGAGTCAGAATGTGCAGCAGCTTACAGCTGTGTGACTTTGCTTCAAAGGAGAAGGCTGCTTCCCGAATCCCAGCCTCTCAAAGTGCTCTTTTAGCTTAGCAGCAGCGAAGATGGAGCACATGTCGCCGCCATGCCCGTCTAGGACCTGCAGTATGCGCGGGGGTTAATCATTGGCTTCTAGGACTGCCAAAGCACAAACATGTCAACAGAGCACGGAGACCGAGACCTATCTCAGTCTGGGCATCTCATGCGCAATCCTTCGAGCTTTGCGGGTCTAACTTGCACACAAAGGCTGTGGCCGCAAAGAAGCCCCAGTCCGGCTGCATGACCACGACATGGGCATCCTGCCCGTTTCCCAAGCCCGTGTCGATTTCAGAACTGGCCCTCGTGGCCTCCATGTTGCTGCGACAGCCATTCATCTCGCAGGTCCCCACACGGAAGCCTTTTCTCCATCGCTGCTCCACCTGAGGCAATTCTTGAAGTTTGTCTTTGCCACCGAAGCAGTCAGCTGTTGGAACTGGTAATCGTTTGGAAGCATAAGCAAATGCCTTGAAATCTGCCCACCATCTTCTCCTCTCACAGCCCCCATGCTTGCATCTGCTGAGCGCAAGGCTATTGTAGACTCGACCGCCACAGGGAGGACCGCCTCACTGCAGCTGGGCTCGCTCGGTCCAGCTTTGCAACAGTCCCCTTCTGGCGCATTTGGCAAGGGTCGATGGTGTCGCATTTCAGAATTCTATGAAAAAGGCTCCCAGCACATTCTCAGGAGCTGGCCCCCATGCCCGGGCAGCCTGTGGGCAGTTTCAGGTCTCTGAAGCAAAATTGAAAGTCCACCGCTTGGGCCCACCTGGCCCGTGCCAGCTTGGGATTGTCAGGCCCGCATCAGTGAAGCTTGTTCTACTTCTTCGTGGTCTTTAAATCTACTTGTCCAAAATTGAACACTAGATCTTCACACAAGAGTGCAACACTTTCGGCTAGACCTTGCAGGGCTGCAAGTAGTTGCTCAGGCATGGCAAATAACTTCCTCATCTTCGAGCCAAGAAAGTCAGTTGCAAGTGGCAAGAGCTGATGAGCTGATTCCGGACGCAAGTCTAGCTGCTGGGAAAGCATCTGGCAAATCACTAAATCGAGGCTCTGGCTGTCAATCTTCCTTACGACTTCAGCTGCCACGACAGACATGAGTGAGTCCTGGCAGGCGCACCCAGTCTGTCACCTGCGGGGATTCGTGTACTTTCTGGCTCCATCAAGCCACCGGCCCATGCAAAAGTCCACTTGACACAGATGCAGCTGAGACAGTATGTCTTCATTGTCGTTCTGTATGTGCTCGCAGGCCAAAGCAGGCCAGACTGTCATTCCGTTGTGCGAGGGTGGCGAAGCCCCATACCTCAACTGGATCTACACTTTCTCTAGCCTTCATCTGACCAAGAAAATACAGTCTAGAGCATCTGGGAAAGCTGAGTGCCAGTCCAGCCGAGAGATGGCGTGGGGCGTGAGCCTGGAATCTGATGGCAATGCAGACATGCAACGCGTCTGACAGCTCATGTTCATACATCTTTAGCGCCCTGTGTTTGTGAAGTTGGCGATGTGCCCCTGCCGTAATTTGCCGAATTTACAAGCTGATGGGCTGAACTTGTTTTCAGGGCTCATGCGAGTGTCGCAAAATGCCACCCTTCATCATATTAGCGCCACTGGCATCACTCGCATCATTGGCGTGACTACTGGCATTGGCTTGCATCATGCATCATTAGCATTTGTGTCGGCACTGGAATTCGTGGCTGGCGGCTCGCATCACTTCCATGGTTGCTGACATCACTTGCATCTTGCAGCAGCGGCATTGGCATCATTGGCATCACTGGCATCACTGGCATCACTGGCATCAATGGCATCACTGGCACCCCTGGCATCACTGGCATCACTGGCATCACTGGCATCACTGGCATCACTGGCATCATATGCATCATATGCATCATATGCATCACCGGCATCACCTACATTGCCTGCATCAACACGCGTGCTTCACGTGAGCTGGACAACATGTTCATTTGAAAGGTCAGGATGCTCAAATGATACCAACTAATATCAGCACTGGTTTCTCCCATAGTTCGTCTGCTGAACAAAGCAGCCCGGGAATTGACCGGCAAATGCGTGCTTGCCAGCGCTCCAAGGCCGGAACTCAGGTGCATGGTGCTTGGCAATCTCGGACACGGACTGCACAAGGGCACGCCAGCCGAGTGCATGGTGAGCCCTATTCGGGGATGGTGTCCAAATTGACAAATTGACAAACAAGCATCTGGTGCATGCGTACTTGCGTGACATGCTCACGTACGTTACCCCTACCTACCTGCCTCCCTGCCCACCTACCTACCCTGTTTTACACACATACATACCATGCCATGCCATGCCATCCCATGCCATACATACCATAAATACCATACCTTCCCTAACATTACATTGACGTACACTACATTACATCACACTACACTGGACCACGCCACATTACACAATGCGCACGTACCTATACCTATTCTTTAAAATAGAAATATATGTATCACGTGTCCTCCCCTCCGTCCGTCCCCCTAGCCTTGGCAGCCCCAGCACCCCCCCTGTGCCAAGCATTTCAAAGCGGGAAGAGCCTAAATGCTTGAGTAGCGCAATCTTGACAAGTTTGATTTCTGAGAAACACACACACACACACACAAAAAACGCACGCAAATCCATACGCACACAAAACGAAAATATGTACTTTGGAGAGAACCGTTCTTGGTGTTTGGAGGTTTTGATGGTCAGTTGTTTTCAGTCTTCACTTTGAGCACATGACAATTCTCAATCAAGATTGACAACGCAACCGTCTGAAAGCATGCGCTCGGGACCCTCCGTTACATGACCATGTGACCAGCCTTTTAGTTGCTCACTGCTAACCAACTTCTGCAAGCCAGCCTTTTGCTAACTTGCTCGTATTCATGTTCCCTTCTTTCAAACTTGACATCCCCACCTACCACTACCTGGCGACTGATCTTGAAGGAAACTTTTTGGCGAGGGGAGTCATAAAAATGGAGTTGCTCTCACATTAAGGGACTGTTGCTCTCTATTTTGCAGGGTGCTCTATTTTGCGCGAAGCCCCCATATTCGTAGAAAAAACGATCAAGTGGGTTGTGTGTGTGTGTGTGACAACTAACCGTCCTGTTGAAAGTTGCTGCAAGGTTCCCTCCACAAGCCTGTGCAAAATCGCCCCTGTCCAAGAGACACACTATATCGCCAGAAAGCAGGGGATTCAGGTCAGACCTGGCTTACCATGTGTGTGTGTGTATTTGCGTGTAGGCGTTTAGGTGCACCCACACACTCACACACACACACACACCTATCTTAAATGAATCTCAACTCACTCATCTCTTCTAGCCACGTCTTGCCTTCAGCAGGTCGTCGATATTCTGCGTGACTTGGGGAGATCCTCAGCAAGTCACCACTCTCTGAAATCAGCAGCAAATTCAGCTACCAAGGGCAGGCAATCTGACAAATTAAATAGCCCAACTTTGCCCAAACTGCAAAGCATCAAGGCTTAGCTTAAGTGACATCATCCAGCTGGAAGTCCACATAGATGAGCTCCCCACCAGCTGGTGTCTGCAGCTTTGCCAATTGATAGGCAATCTCTGACACATCGATGGGGCTCACCTTGACCTAAATCAACAGCGATCTGGAAAATTTTGAAGTTACCGGGTATACTTCGTCGACTTTCAGTGATTCATTTGATACGCTTTCGCTGCATCTTCCAGCTCAGGCTAAAACTTGATCCTCCGCAGGATTTGATGCCTGGCACGAATCGAATCCTTCCATCCCTTCCTTTTGGGTGTTGCTTGGAGGCGTACTTCCGAACAAAGCCCTTCCCCCAGGGGGGATTTGGATCATCACGCGTTTAACTTGTAAGTGCAATAGCTTTTGAAAGTACGGAGGCTATCCATTGAGTAAGCGATTGGTTCTACCAGTACGTGCTGACTACTACTGACTATCTGTTTTGGACATATGGTCAAACCGCCAGGCTGACGGCGTTCAAAATGCACTTAAAGTCCTCCAGTACCAGTGGCAAAGCCACCTGGCGCTTCTCATCCTCGGCAGCCAGATCTGCTAGTAGAATTGGATTCTCTATTCCGTTCAGACCACGGCACACAACCCAACTCCCCTGGAACTCTTACAGAGAGCACCAACTCTTCAAATCACCAAGCCTCTATGTTGCGGAGGAAGCCAATAGCCTTCGACACGTCGCTGGCCTGGTTCCCCGCCCGGTCAATAGGCAACGGTGGCGAGCGCCAATCAGGCACCGCCTTACATGCCTCGCGAATGTGTGGCACAATGTCATCACCTGAGCGGGACAAAAGGATGCAAGTGAACGAATGAAGCTTGGGGACTTAAATTCCCTAGAACAAGAAACCATTCTGCAAATCATCAAGTTGATAACCACTAAGTCAGTACTCCAAGCTCTGCACGTGAATATGCATAGCCTTAGGTAATGAAGGTTGTGTGTTTGCTGCCGCAGAATCCAAAGCCTTCTGGTGTGCGGATTCAATGAACAACTGCTTCTGAAAAAGGCAGGGACCCATGGCAACTTCGTCAGACGTCCCCACTGGAACCTTAGCCATCGCCGGGCTGAATAGGGAACATGAATCATTGAATGTCTGCCTGCATTGCTCCATCACGTTATCGATTATCATTCACGTCGGCAGGCATACATTCAATCCACACTGCCAATGGCCCTCACAACGCGCGCTCGAGGCAGCTGCTGGGCTTGGGGTGGCCAGGAATGGCTGCATCTGCTGATTGGTCTGATTCACATGGGGCATTGTCAGCCTCAAAGCCACAGTGTCGTGCTCACGGTCGATATGCATGCGTGTGCAGCTGAGCCCATCAAACCCCTCTACACAAAAGCACCACTGATATGCCAAGTGGCTGCGGCATCTGCGAGCACGGCTGGAGCTGCCTGACAAATCCCATGGCCAATTCGCGTTAGTTGAAGGCGCCAAATACGGAAAGTCTGAGCTGCCGGCGTGGAACCTGGATTCATTCGATGCATGGCCTCAGCATTGCAAAATCAATGTAGGACGTGGTGGAGACAACTGAAACCTGGGGTTTGCCTGGGATCTAACTCAAGTACTGTTTTGGCAAGCGTCCTGCATGCGTCACGCTTTCTTCCAAACCACTGGTGCGTCTCAATTTTCAGCCTTCCATGCGCCTGTTTGAATGAAGCACAAAGTGCACAAAAAGAACACGTCAATGCAACTCTTGCCCAAGAAGCCTGGTGAGCCTGGCAGTTTCGGGGTAAAGGTCCGAAAAATGCAGCAGAACATTTACGAATCTCTCAAGCTCCCGACATGAGCTGGGGTGCGCTCATTTGGATGTCTTGCCTCCCTGACAGCACACGTCTGCAAAAGGTCGGGCCATGAGTCCAACTACATCGACCAAGCCAATTGCCTCAAAAAGGGCTGCGGCTGCTGGGGGTATGGACCTGACATGTGCACGATACAGTTGCTCACCAGCCACCAGCTCAGCTCCCAGCAGCCCTGACTGTAAGTCGCGCAGGCTCCTCGTGAACTGCACGTAATGTGCTGGAAGTTTGCATGACCGCACCTCGTCCATCACGACCAGGCCTGAACAACTCAACTCTTCATACGGCTTTGTGAGCAAAGAAGGTTTGCCGCTGTTAGCTTGACAGTATGTGCAAGAAAAAGAAAAAAAACTAAGCGGACGGCACCAAAGGCGGGGGCGGCGGCGGTACAGTCTGGACTTGAGTGTACCTGACAAAACGTGCCGGCTTATCCTTAGCCAAGCAAGAATCACAATCCTGCGCACTCCTCGGCATGCGGCAACTGTGGATTGTTCGAATTCCTCCACATCTGCCTTGCCCAGAGATTGATGTCGACGACGACGACAACCACGACAACCACGAAAAACCACGACAACCGCGACAACCACAACAACCACCTCCACCAACAACAGACAGACAAACGGACGGACGGACGGACGAACAAACAAACAAACAAACAAATAAATAAACAAACAGACAAATAGATAAACAAACGAACGAACGAACAAACAAGCAAGCAAACAAACAAACAAACAGACAGACAGACAAATAGACAAACAAACGAACAAACAACAACACAAACCATAAACGGCCCAGCTTTTTTCTCTGATCTCTATCTGCACGGACCAGGACACGCCAAAGGTCCAATGTCGCAGATTGTCACATCAGCTCCAAGCCATGTGACGCCGCTTGAGCTTCCCGTTGAAGCTTATTAAAGGCAAAGGACTCAAAACCTTCGCCAGCCGTGCTAAGCAACGGGCTCATTGCGGTTCCCAACACACCCGGATGCAGCGCCTCGGAAGAGACAACTCTTGCCTGAGTGGGGATGTCACACGGCGAAAGTTCGAAGCGCAACAAAACGGAATGATGATTGGTTCGTGTCCAATTCTCGGGCATATCGCCTCCGGAACTTTGGTTCTCTCTTCTTTGGCGATTGCTTCGCGAACCTTGGTAGTGCAAGAAAGTCAAATAGCACAGACTGCCTGCTTTCATCCAAGACAGGAGCTTTCTCCCTTCTCACCGTGCTCTGTGCCTGCGACACCACTGGCCCCTGGTCTCCAAGCTCTTCCTCATGTGCCTTCTGCACGGCCACCACGGCGATCAAAGTCTCCATGTCCTCAGCCGGAGGAACTTGCAGCAACTCTTTCTGCGTGAGAGCACCTTGTCTTCCCCCACCTTTTCCTGAGGTAAGAAATGCATTTAGCTGCTCGCATGCACACCTGGAGGACCTCGCCTTCATCCTCGTCTTGAGCATGTCTTCTATGCCGCTGCCGGCCTGCGTCGGCTTGTGCTTGCACGTCTTGTATACGTGCTGTTGCAAATCGCACGCGCAGTGCGGTCCCGAACGCTGGAATGATCTGACTCAATGGAAACCACTAGACGCTGGACTGGTTGCTGGTTGAATGGAAACGGAACAGCCAAAAACAAAACGTGCCTTTCCCAGAGCGGTAGTTTCTCCCACCTGAGACACTGGCAAAACTTATCTCACGCTTTGAAGCACGTGCTGTGTGCACAGAACCCATCACGGGCATGGGAAACCAGTGGACACGGAACATCCAACACGGTAGGTGCCTCTGTCCCCGTTGTCGAAGTTGGACTGAGCATGCAATGGCTAGCATGCGCGGATGGCAGCCCGCAACAAATGGGCATCCGACCATGATCTCCACTCGGCTAAAACCTGCCGTTGAGGTGCACGCATGCTGTCCATCCTCTTGCATACTTTGAGAGACTGGCTCAAATGCGCTACACCTGCCCATTCCACCTGACAAGCAAGAAAGCATGATGCCAAAGGAATGTGATTACTTTAACCCTCGGTATCTGTCCCGATACACTGCAAAGCAAACAATCCTAATCATCTCCAAGCGATGAGCACATGTCTTTGACTGCGACAAAATGCATGTACAACTAGTGCAGCAAAGCAGCACAGACCAGAGCACAGCTATGAGCTAGATTGAGGGCAACTCGAAAACACGACTGTCCGGTGACAACCATATTCTTGAAGCTGCAAGTGCACAACGACATGTCGCTGCATGCTGCCTTGCATTCAAGATGTTGCTCCAACTGAAGGCTTGTGCATGGCATGCATCTGCACTGTGGCCTTGCTTCAAATAGTGCTGAGCAGACTCACCAGCCAGAGTCACACGGCGCAGCAATCCGTTCCAGAGAATCCCACGCAGATCGAAAGCAAAACGCTGAAACGGCTCTGTTCCCTCACTCCCTCACTGGGACTCTGGCAAACACCCTTTTATTTAAGCTATCGCTGCTGTCTGCGCTGAGGCGTCAGATTTGACCGCGTGTGCGGGGCGCGTTTCCACCCAAAAGCAGCGCAAGGATATCCATTCTGCATGCATTTTTGTTGCTGTCCTGCCGGGGCAAGGCTGGTGGGCATGCCTGCCAAGGCAGCACAATTTCACAAATAGAGCTTTTATGGCTGCAATGGATACACAAGGCACGGGCCAACCTGCCTCTACCTGATCAGTCTGCTGCAGTCCACAAAGCGGTGTTGTCCTCATCCCCACAAAGGATACTGCGGCATTTGTTCTGCTGCACATGGTGAATGTGGGCGTCTGTCCCCCCCAAAACAAAAACACAGTGTGCGCCTTTAAACCGCAACCACATGGGTAGCCAGGGCACCCTGAAAACACGACGCAGTCATGCTTGTCTGAGAGGGCGGCCGCCAGCAGCTGCAATGTCAGCAATGCGTCACTCTGGCTGTCCTGCTTTGGGTGAACACCCAGATGGGACCCGCTCTCAATGATGCGTCAAATGTGAAAGCAGTCGAGAACACTCATACCGCCATTTGATCGGAAGCTGCCTTTTGGTCGTTCCGCCACTCTCCCAACCGGCAACTCATCAACAGTGTCGCGTTGCTGCTGTGTTTGCATGCCGTTTGAGGGGAGGTGATTGCTACTGGTTAAGTGTATGTCATAAATTGAACATAGATGCGTTTGCATTTCTGTGCAAAAGCTGGGCTGAAAGTCATAAGTGGCAGCCGAACACAAGCGATCAGCAACATGCACAATCCGCGCTTCCTCGGAAATGGAATCCAAGTTTGCTTGCGCACCTTGGGCAGGGATGCGTGTCGCGACAAAAAGAAGTGAGCCAGGAAAGCTGCACGCAGGTAGGCAGGCAGGCAGGCAGTCAGTCAAGCCCAAGCTGTGACTACTTGCCCTCTTGAGCTATGCGCTGTGCAAAGCAGAGTTCCTGATCGCTCACAGTAATGCATCTTGGGGAAGGTCGTGAAGTGTTAGAAATTGCAAACTCAGCTGCCAGCGCAAGGTCTAGAGCTGCCGCCGTGTTGTGCAGCACCTGAACAAATGGCAGCTGGGGGCAAAATCGATGTTGGAAGACTCAAACTTGCAATCACAACAAAATATGCGCAAAAGAGATGTAAAGATTAAAAAATGCCGCCAGAAGGCAAAACGGGCCCAGACCCCGCGCCTCGTGCTGAAAGACCGAGAAGTTGAGGGCCAGGCCCAAGCGAACGGGGTGCACTTCATGGAGGGCCAAGGCCTTCCCGAGCGTCGCATCTGTCTGGAACGAATCCCGAATCAGTCAGTCCAGATTGGGCGGCGCCTCCCGCATCCCATTGGAGTAAGCTTCAGCCGCCTAACTTGCTCGCAAGAGCCAAGCTTCTCGTCATTTTCAGATTGAAAGAATCGCATGACCCAGCTGCTTGCGCAACCCCTCATCTTCCCACAGCGTACCATTCGACTGTACTTCTCCAACGCATCGCCCGTGGAAAACTCTGCCAGGTAGCGGCAGTAGTCACCCTGGCGTCGAAGCTCTTGTGAGAATCCGTCAGTGATCTGCACAAAGTGTGGCACTGCACATTCTGCGCAACACTTTGCACTATGGCTCAGAGTAAGTTTTTGCTTGCCTGCATCTTCAGGTAGAAGGTCTTGGCCTGCCACTCCATGGCAAGCAGACATTCACAGTGGTAACAAAAAAGCATGCAGGACATGTAATCAGCATGTACTGCGAAAGGTTAGGGTGCAGGAGAGTTGATGTGCGCAATGCGACCTTTCAGCAGACTCTCAACCAGCATCAGCCCGAATCAAACCCATACAGGATCGCAAGCCCATATGTGAACACGTGAAAACAACACACTCAGAATCCTAAACAAGGTGCGAGTTTCATGAATGCAAACTCCACTCTGAACATGACATTTCTTGTGCCAAGGTCAGATTGGCGCCTCACCAGCAGCGGCAGAGGGCAACAGCACTTTCTCCAGCAGGTGAAGCACCTTCAAAATCCAAGAGTCATGCAGCATTCCGGTGCCGTGGTTTGATGTTCTCCATTCACCGTTCTCTTTCCAATGTCTTGCTATGCACAAGTCATTGCACCAGCCTTTTTACAAATGTCTTGGAGTTCATTCTCAACTCTGGTCTTGTAACCTGCGCGTGTCAGCATAAGAACGTGCATTGTCTGCTGTACGTTCTATCTGGTACGTTCTATCTGGCTCACCGTTTGCCAAGCTTGCTCTCTCCGCAGACCCCTCGCTGAGCTCCTGCGTGGGAAGCCACAAAATCTTTTAGCATCGGCCTGCGTCTAGGCGGCTTGTCTTTTCCAAAGAGGTGACAAATTCTCTGCCAGCTGATCGGTAGGGTGGAGCAGTGCTCACGTGCTGGAAAGCAAAACATGTTTCCTGAAATGCAGCAAGCCCATGTGAGCGTGCAAGTGCAACCGCCGCGTCCTGAGAGTAGACTTGAACCTGTCTGCAAAGTTGACAATGATTCATGAACATAATCTGCCATGCTGAAAACTGATTTGGGCGCGGGCTGCTATTCTCACTGCCACTCGTCGATCAGTGAGCGCATTCTTAAACGCTGCGGAGAACATGTCCCTTTCCTGGCACCCATGCCATGACGCCTGCACCCAACTCTGCAAGTTGTCATTGATGAACATCAATCGTGTCACTCCTCGCTGTTCAAAGGTTCCATTGTCATGGCACGTTCCTGACACAGCAAAGGACAGCACAAACACGCCTCAACGTGGCCTAAGCCGAATTTGTGTCACGTCGGTTCTCCTTCATGTACTCGGCCATGTCATCGTAGCGCTCAGCTCGCTCGGCCACCCGGGCAAGCTCCAAGGCCACCTAAACACAAGTCAAGCCAGGCAATCTGAGAAGCTGGAACGATCTCTCTGGGCAATGAACACCAAGTGTGCGACCATGTCTCCTTTATCCGCCTCACGGCAGTTAGTTCGAAAAATGACAAGCACAAACACATTCAGCAGCATGTTGACCAAAAATATTGCAATAAATTGCTACCAAGCATCGTGACCCACTGTTGAGTCCCGCACGCGACTTGTGAGAGGAAAGGCTGATGATAAAGCAAACCACGTAAGGAACAATTGTGCTTCAAGGCTGCTTGCACGACAGCGCCAGGATTTGGAGCTGGAGATGTTGAATGCTACCGATCCAACCAATCTACACCCTCATGGTGCCTTTTTACCACAAAAACATGCTGCATTCATTGACCAGATTCGCGCTAAAACAAATGCAGTACGTTTGCAACCAACCAAAACAAGCAAACACGCAAGAATGGTTTGCATGGGTTGCCACCGATGTGGAAAACAACTTAAGAACCGAAACGTCATCAACAATCAGAAAAGCACGGGCCAGATTGGATTGAATTAGTCTTCATGCCCACCGCGGGGCATGGCTGATCGTTAGCCACCAACCTTGGGAGGCTATGATTTGTTTTGTGAGGACCCCAGCCCCAGCGCAAGGACTTCCACTTTGCGCTGAATGTCCTCCAAAGCTAGAGGTGTGAATCAAAGCAAGTCTGTCAGAATCCTGCTCACTGCTTCAAGCCAAACCGGGACATGAGACAAAACAAGAGTTAACGTGCGAAGCGGCGCTCAGTTCTTTTTTGCCAAGTGTTGCTCAGAGGTGACAGGCTCAGGGATTGCATTGGCGGCAACTGAGTCCAAATTTGTGGCAACTGGCCAGCTTCAGGCGAAGATACAGAGAAACGCTTTGCTTTTTGTTCGCATCGCGTCTAACCTCTGTCAGCTCAGCCTCACAACCAGCAATTTTTCTAGCTGGAAAAAAGTGGACTGGCCAAGCAGCCTGGAACCAGTGAGCACTTTGAGCCAAACAAGCAGGTTAGAATCTTGTTAGAATCTTGATCACTGCTTCAATCCGAAAGGGAACATGCAGTCCAAGACAAAAGGGGGCGACCGACAAACATGCGCGCACGCCCTTTTTCTTTATAAGGCGTTGCTTGGAAGTTGAGGCTCAGAGGTGCAGGGGGAAAGACATCGCGTGTCCTTTCCCCGTATCTGCACCCCTCTGCGGAGCCTCCTCATATGCCCCCGTGGTCAACAATGCGTGTTCGACCAGGCGCCAGGTGTGTTACCTGTGAGGCGTGAAACAATCGAAGGCATGGATGGCGGCCGGATGCAATGCGTGCATCCGGCTGGCGTGCAATGCGTCACGCGGTGCCAGGTTGAGACAAGTCGAAACAGTCATACGGCGGCTGGACGCAATGCGTGCATCCGGCTAATGCGCAATGGGTGCCAGGCTGAGGCCTGGCAGCATCTACAGCATGCGGCGCTGGTTGTGCCCGAGCCCTTCGGGCGGCAGCGGCTGCAGGGCCCTGGCGGAAATATTCCATGCTGTCGCTGGCGCGAGATGCGTCTCACGGTGCTGAACTAAATTTTGTGACCTCTGCAGAAAGGTCATGGTGTGCACCGTACCTCTGGGGCCCCAGCTGCGGCTGGGCCCAGGCAGGTTCACCTGAGTGTTGACAGGGTGGGAGGGTGGGCGCAAAAAAGGGGTAACCCTCACGCAAGTCCCTTAGGTGGCTTGAAGCAGAAAACGGCCACGCGTCCGAAGATTCGATCAAGATTAAAACATAAGGGAAAATAAAACCCTAAACGTTAGAATCTTGATCACTGCTTCAATCCGAAAGGGAACACGCAGTCCAAGACAAAAGGGGGCGACCGACAAACATGCGCGCACGCCCTTTTTCTTTATAAGGCGTTGCTTGGAAGTTGAGGCTCAGAGGTGCGGGGGGACAGACATCGCGTGTCCTTTCCCCGTATCTGCACCCCTCTGCGGAGCCTCCTCATATGCCCCCACTTCAGGGTTCCAAGCAAACGGCCTAATCTATCACCCCCTCTTCAGAGCGTTTGCGAAGCACTCCTATGCTCCGGCCGCCATGGGGCGTCGGGCGGATGCAGTGATAGCCTGCATTTGTGGGGCCAGAAATCTTGCGGGCGAAAACGAAAGCGAGCTTGGTAAGGCATGTTGCACTGCTCCTAGCTTGAACCCAAACATGAACCCCCAAAAGAACAAAGCAAGTCCGAAGCGGCCGCAGTTCTTTTTACCGGGATTGCTGAAAGTAGCACTGCTTCCAGGGCACTGGTGCGCCTGGAACAGGAGGTGCGTTGACCCCCCGTGAAACTAAAACGGGCAAGACAATGCGTGTCCTTGCAAGTGAATGCAGTGCTTGCAGGGCGTGGCATGCGTGCCCGCGCCCAAGGTCCGGAGACTGAATGGTCCGGAGACCAGAGTTGGTCCGGAGACCTGGTCCGGAGACCAAGAGGTCCGGAGACCACCAACGAAAGCGCAGAGTTAGAATCTTGGTCACTGCTTCAAGCCTAAAGGGACATGCAGGGAAAAAAGCAACCGACCGGAGCAAACTCGACACGCGCTTTTTTACTTGAGCGTTGCTTAGAAGTGCAGGCTCTGAGATGCAGGTGGAGTGACGATGCGCGTCCACTCCATCTTCCTGCATCTCATGCGGAGCCTGTCGGAATACCCCCCCTGAGGTCAACATTGCGTGTTCGACCATCACACAGGGTGTTTTACCCATGGGGTGTGAGACAAAAAAGACGTATATTTCACATGTATGCAATGCGTGCATGAGTGTGCATGGGAAGAATGCGTCCTCCTGCACAGGGGCCAGTCCGGGCCGACAGAATGCCAATGGCATTCGTCAATGTGCGATCGCGTGCGCAGCGTGGGTCTCGCTGCATATGCTCGAAATGGTCCTGCGGGAGCAGCGAGATGCAGTAAGCCAACGAAATGTTGGAAGCTGACAAGCTTCCATTCGTGCGGGCGCATGCGTCCCTCAATCAGGCCTTGTGGAGGCTGGATGCCACCTGGGCCGTGAAAGGGTGGGAGGGTGGGTTCAAAAAAGAACGAAAGAGGGGTCAAACCCTCCAGGCATGTTCCTTACCAAAAGGCTTGAAGCAGAAATGGCCACGCGGCCGAAGATTCAACCAAGATTAAAACACAGGGGAAAAGACAAACCCCTAGCGTTAGAATCTTGGTCACTGCTTCAAGCCTAAAGGGACATGCAGGGAAAAAAGCAACCGACCGGAGCAAACTCGATACGCGCTTTTTTACTTGAGCGTTGCGTAGAAGTGCAGGCTCTGAGATGCAGGTGTCTCATGCGGAGCCTGTCGGAATACCCCCACTTTAGACCATGCTTAAAAGGCGGATGCTAGGCATGCTGTCTGGACCTAACAGCTCGCCTGGATAGTTCTTTTGGAACTTGTCTACTAAGTCCTGCACGACTTCTGGGCTCAGCTTGGGGGGCAGATGTTCTGCCCATGCGATTGCGGGTGATGCCTGCGGACCGGGCAAAACCTGTCCTGCATGCGACCCGGATGCGGTTGGCGTCAGGGCCACGGATTCTTGCGAAGCGGAGGCCTTGGCCATGACAAAAGCTCTCCTAATGCGTGCCGCAGGTATCGAGTGCTCTGGATCCGTGACCCCCATGGAGGTCCACGTTTCAGCAGGCACGCCGTCCAACAGCTTGCTGTAAGCGTAAGCGAAATCTGCAATGTCTTCAAATCCCAGGCCAAGGATATGCTCAACCAGCATGTCTGGCACCCGAGCGCTTGACAGCAAATTGCGCATGGCCTCGGCCGATGTCACTTGTTCCTCTGCGTCCGCCATGCTGGGCCGAAGAGGAGGATTGGTCTGAGGTACTGTCAGTCAGCCAGAAAATAGCTGATGGCAGCATGCAACAAGAAAAAATGTGTCAAGTGTGCAAAACGCCTGATGCGATGCCTGCACTGAGCTGGGGTGCGGGCCTGCTGGTCTCGACAATAATCGCGTTGTGGACGTCCCGGCCTGGGGGCGGGTCTGCACACTTGCCAACACTCATGGCGGTCTTGCCAACGCCTGATGCCGACATGCCTTTGCGGTTCTGAAGCATGCGGTCCATGTCCAAATGGGGGTCGATGCGAAGGTAGTCGACGAAGAAAGTTGACAGGGAGTGCAAGCGTGCTATGCAAAAAGTCATGCCGTGCACTCCCAAAATGCAAAGGATGTCAAGCAGGAAGTTGCAAAGATGCCCCATGCGATTGATGCATTTGAGTCGAATGCGATGCTCTGGGTGGCGCATCCACTTGTCAAGCAGCTGCGCAAAGCCTTCTTGCAGGCTGCGGGAAGGCGAAGCGTCCGCGCGGTGGCACTGGGGCCATTGGCGCGGGGTGAGGTCCTCGATATCCTCTATGGAATCAAGGCATGCGTCAGCTTCTGCAACCAGAGCCATGCTAGTGAGCGGGAATGGAGGGTGGCCAGGATTATAACCTTGAGTCTATCTGCGGAGACCGCATGTTTGACATGCATTGGTTGCAACCCTGGCAATCCACTGAGACTGGCGCTTATGCAGGCGGTCACCTTAGTACCGCTTGTGTATAGACATGATCACTTGGTCGGTGTCATCACACAGTGAGCGGCAGTAGCGTTTTAATGCATCCAGGCACGGTCATCCTGCGTGCAAAGTCGCGGCATGCTGATGCGCTCGCAGCAGCGATGCTGTTAAAAAATCTTCTGTCTGAAAGACAGAGGGCAAGGTTTGCAAAAAAGCCGCAAATGCAAACAGGGTCATCATGACCATGCAGAAGGCAACAATGCGTATGTAGAAGTGCTGAGCAAGACGAACATGAAGTCTTCGAGGACTATTTCCAAGTCCAGGTAGCTCCTTGCAATGGTCTCATGCATTGCGTCCAGTATCTCATGCTGTTCCATGCCGCAGGCGTGTGCGGATCGGGAATTTCGACTGCAGGCTGGTCGGCTGCGGGATGTGCATACACTGCGTGCATGCGTTTTGCATGAGCGACCGCGAAGGCGGCAATTATGCGGACAGAGTCTGGGATGCTGGCCCCTGGGTGAGTCGCGACTCTGAGGGCGATACCTGCAAGTGGGC